CAGAACCTTAAAATCGTCAGGAATCTCTGGGAATTGAGCTAATATAGGGTACAAAAGATCCTGGCGAGGCACCAAATAAAAGGGACATTGAAGAAGAACATGGGGGACTGGTTCAGGTATCTCAGACCCCAAAAATGTCTTCAGTCCAGACCAGTATAGCATACCATTATACAGGTATCGTATACAGACTGGGGAAATATTCACTATTTCTGAATATATTTGGGTCTAAAATAGGTACCACTTCGGTGGGAAGGTAACAGCGTTCCTTGCGCCTTGGTGTTTAGTCATGCCGGCCACATGACCACGGAAACGTCTTTGGACAGCGCTGGCTCTTCGGCTTTGAAATGGAGATGAGCACCGCAACCCTAGAGCAATGCTCCCTCTAAGCTGTGGAGTCTTGTGAGTAAAAATTCTACTTTGTGAGCTACTGGCATTAAAGTTGTGAGCGAGCGATTTGGCTACTGCATAAATTAGTTTGCTCTGGAGCCACCCCTTCCTTAGCTGAGATGAAAATGTGTGAGCCGGAGGCTAAAAAACTGTGAGCTAGCTCACACTAACTCAGCTTAGAGGGAACACTGCCCTAGAGTCGGATTCAACTGGTTTTCGAGCAAGGGAACCTTTACCTTTACCTGTTCCTGCCAAATGCCTCTGATATCACGGCCCAAAATTTCCTTGAGTCGTTACTCATTGTAGCGTGCAGAAGAGGTTCCCAACTCCTCTGCCGGGCCAGTTTTTGCTTTTCTCTATATAGATTATGCAAAGATGCTCTCGCCTCAAAGTATTCTGGAGGTAAGCGTCCTAAGCAACACTTTCTGTATGTCTGATATATGGAACGGACTTGGGCCTTTGCTTCATAGCACTCTCTATCAAACCATGTCCCTAACTGATGCGATTTGTTATGTTTACCTTTACCTTTTTTTATGCCTGCTGGAGGGAAGGGAGAGCAAGAAGCATGTTTAAATGCCTTCCCTGGTCTCCGCTAATCAGCTGCTAGTTTTAGGCCATTTAAACCTAATAGCTGACAGATGGATGGAAGTGAAACTGACCAGTCAAAGCTTAAATGCCTTTCTTTCCCTGAGCTGCTGCAGGGCGGCTGAGGAAGGGAAGGCAGAGAGGGAAGTCATGTTTAAATGCCTGTACTGATATAGCTTCTCCAGGAGGCAAGGCCTGGGGTCCAGGAGGGCAGAGGCAAGGTTGCAGAGAGTAACCAAAGTCCAGTCCAAAAGTCAGGGGTCCCAGAGAGCAGGTTTACCAAATCAGTATCGGGGCAGGTACCATTTAACTTGCTCACAAACAATCTTGAACTAGGGGAGAGAGGTGTAGCGGCCAAGTTTGCAGAGGACACAAAATTATCCAGGATGCTAAAAACCAGGCCTGACTGTGAAAACCTCCGAGATGATGTCCACAAATTGAGTGAGTGGGCGACAATGTAGCAAATGAAGTTCAGTGTTGGTAAGTGTAAGGTAATGTATAGTGGGAGGAAATTCCATCTTCCGGTGTAGGCCGGGGGCTCTGAATCTGCTGAGAAAGAGCGGGGGGGGGGAAGATCTCGGGGTTGTAATGGACAGCTCAACGAACGTGTCAACCCAGTGTGCTGCAGCGGTGAAAAAAGTAAACTCTGTGTTAGGGATTATTAGGAAAGAGACCGAAAACAAAGCGGCTCGTAGAATAATACCCCTATACGGACCCATGGTGTGGCCTCAGTTGGAATACAGTGTACTTTTGGTCACCACATCTCAAAAAGGACATCGCAGACCTGGAAAAAGTACAGCAGAGGGCAACCAAGATGATCAGAGGATCGGAGCACCTTCCCTATGTGGAAAGGCTGAGCCTGGGGCTTCTCTGTTCAGAAAAGAGACCATTAAGGGGGGACACAATAGAGGTTTATAAAATTACGCATGGGGTGGAGAGAGTTGACACAGATAATTTTTCTCCCACTCCCAAAATTCTAGAACTTGAGGGCATCCAATGAAGCTTTTGGGCAGCAGAATTGGAAGAAACAGAAGGCAATATTTCTTTACGCAGAGAGTGATTAAAATGTGGAATTCGCTGCCAGACGTTGTAGCGATGGCCACAGGAATAGACAGTTTTAAAAAGGGGGTTAGACAGATTCATGGAAGAGAGGCCTATCAGTGGCTACTAGCCACGGTGGTTGAGGGGAACTTCCACATTCAGGGCCATCCCAGTGCCAGAGGGCAACATCATCGGAATAACTCAGCCTCTATGCCCTGTTGTCAGCCTTCCAGAGGAACTGGTTGGCCACTGGGTGAGACAGGAGGCTGGACTAGATGGACCCTCACCAGTCTGATCCAGCAGGGCTCTCCTTGTGTTCATCTGTTTCTATGTTCTTAAGGACATGTTGTAAAGTCTGACAACTGAGAAATTAAATTGTGGCCCCTTCCGGAGTCTTCCTGAGGGCCCCTCATCCCCGCCTTGGCCTCAGGTCAGGACACCCTCTCTGGCTTGAGTGATGATAGCCACAATTCGGGCCTCAGTTGCCCCAGTCTACCCACCCACGTTAAACATCGCTTTAACTTCCACCCCAGTCCTGGAGACCCCAAACGGGAGGCACGTAGCTGGGCAGGCGTCAAAACACTGTATTTGCTGTTCAATATTTTGATTCCTGCATCATCCCCAGTGGAGGCAGTTGGCACCTTCCCCACCCATGGAAGATCCTTACCCAGGGAGGCCACGGTCCCGTAGTTCTCCAGCATGACTTCCCAGTGGAGAGCTCTCTGGCCTGGATCCAGCAGGGCCCACTCCGCCTCAGTGAAATCCACAGCCACCTCCTCAAAGGAAATGGGACACTGGAAGGAAAAGCAGATTCCCTTGTCAGAGATCATGCCAGGCAGAGAACGCACACCGGAAGGGGGCAGTCTGGGAGGGTACAGGAAGGCTTGGCAGGGGTGAAGGGAGTGGCATTTAGAACCTCTGTCGCTCAGGCACTTTAGGGGCAACTGCAGGAGCAAAAGCCCCCCTTGAGACAAAGGGGGACCCAGGCTGTCCCCCCCCCCATCATCTCCCCTACCTGGAGTGCAGGTTCTGCAGGTATTTCCACATCTCTACACAATGGATGGCTCAACACCATTTCTTCACCACCTGAGGGAGACAGACAATGAAGGAAGGAAGGGTGTCCGCCTAGACTCCCTAGTTCATCTGCGTGTTCAAATCCTCCACCCCCTTCACACACACACACCCCTTCTCGGGATTGTGAAAGCTTGCCCTACATTCAATTAGAAAAAAAAATGTCATGAATTTTAGTAAATTTTGGGATATGCAGAAGAGAAGCACCAGGTGCCCATGACCATAGGGAGCAGGGGGCGGTATACATTCTGGCGGCATGTTTCAGACTTCTGTGAGATTTGAAATGTGCCCTGTGGAGCTCAAATACATGACAGCATCCCAAGTTAACTATCCTCTTTGTGACTGTGGCCTGCCAGGCGTCCCCGAAAAGCCTTTAAGCAGGGGCACAAAAACCAAATTACTGGCCTCTGGCAATGGGTTTTCTGAGGTAGACTGCCTCGGAACTTTGTGTGAAACTGTGATCGATTCCGCAAAAGCAGTTGTTCCGACCTCGGTCTCCCGTTTCCCCTGGTTGTACACTCCCTTCCCCTCCCCACAACAGACACCCTGTGAGGTAGGTGGGGCTGAGAGAGCTCTGGCAGAAACTGCTCTTTTTCAAGGACAGCTCTTATCAGAACTACGGCTTGCCCAAGGTCATCCAGCCAGGTGCAAGTGGAGGAGTGGTGGGAATCAAACCCGGTTCTCCCAGATTAGAGTCCGCGCACTTAACCACGACACCAAACTGGAACTAAGTCCCAGAAGTCCACTCTGCGTAGAGAGCAGAAGGACTTCCTTTTCCTCCTGCCCGAAATCTTTTACCCAACAAATTGACTAGGTGCCCCAACCCCATCTGGACAGGAGGCACCCTTACCATGTGACCGGGCGTCTTGGGCAGGCTCCTGGGCCTGCACCCTCTGACTTTCCTGCGGAACTGGTCACAGTGTGTGTAAACTAGCATCAAGTCACAGCTGACTTACGGTGACCCCCACAGTTATTCAAGACAAGAGACGTTCAGGGACCGTGTGCCATTGCCTGCCTCTGCAGAGCGACCCTGGACTTCTCTGGTGGTCTCCCGTCCAAGTAGGAACCAGGGCTGACTCTGCTTCGCTTCTGAGATCTGATCAGATTGGGCTAGTCTGGATCATCCAGGTCAGGAGAATACGGAGGTTCCACTTATTCACCCTGGGTAACAGCTGCACCCAAATCTCTCTTCCTTTTCTCATTTGAGCCACCCTGAGTCCTTCTGATGGAAGGAAGGAAGGAAGGAAGGAAGGAAGGAAGGAAGGAAGGAAGGAGAGATACAAAGATTTTAATTCATGCAAATAAGAACGGAATTGCCTTCCATGAGTTTGTCGACTCCCCCTTCAAGTGAGTGGCCATCAATAAAACCTGTGGCACTAAGAAGAAGCAGAAGAAGAAGAGACTGGATTTATACCCCGCCCTTCACTACCCAAAGGAGTCTCAGAGCGGCTTACAAACTCCTTCCCCTTCCCCTCCCCACAACAGACACCGTGTGAGGTAGGTGGGGCTGAGAGAGCTCTCTCGAGGCCTGCCCTTGACGAAGAGATTGGTTCTATACCC